TCACAAGAACAGAAAACCAAACACCGCATGTTCTCACTCATAGGTGGGAACTGAACAATGAGATCACTTGGACTCGGGAAGGGGAACATCACACACTGGGGCCTATCATGGGGAGGGGGGAGGGGGGAGGGATGGCACTGGGAGTTATACCTGATGTAAATGACGAGTTGATGGGTGCTGACGAGTTGATGGGTGCAGCACACCAACATGGCACAAGTATACATATGTAACAAACCTGCACGTTATCCACATGTACCCTAGAACTTAAAGTATAATTAAAAAAAAAAAAAAAGAGAGAGAATAATGTGCGAATGAGAAGAAAAGGAGAGTAACCATGCGTGGGCTGTTTGTGTTGGGAGCTATGTTCACAATGAATATTTTCTGCATTCTCCTTTCCCTCTCCACTTCCCCCAGTCCCATTTGGTCTGCTGATTGGTTTGTTTCTGACAGAATCCAGTCCAAACCCAATCAGGAAAATAGAAATCACATTAAGTATTTCAAAAGAGATCACACAAAAAAATTGTCAACAGTTGTTGAATTTGAAAAGCAAAACAGAGAACATGGGATCACAGAGCTGTAATTGCAGGCAGCACCACTCCCTAAGGCAGGGGTCCTCAGAGCCAGAAGCTGAAAGGAGAGGCCCTGCAGAGCTGGGGCTCGGGTGTCTGAGGAGGTGGCACTGCCCAGCTGATGCTGGGGCTTCTGAGTGCAATGAAGCAAGCTCTGAAAAGTGTTGGGGGGTGGGGGGAAAGAACAGCTGGAGCCTGGAACTAAGAGCCACTGTCAAGGTGAAGAGTCACTGCTGAAGTGGGGCTTCTAGAAACAGGAGGTCAAAAGGAAGCAGCAATCCCTCACCATCTTCCACCCCTGCAGCATCCCCAGTCCAGCACCCCATATTGGCAGAGCCTAATAGGGAACTGGCTGGCAAAGAAGAAATGTGGTTTGCAGAGTCCCAGTATCAGAAAGTAGAGTATGGGGCCAGGTGCAGCGACTGATGCCTGTAATCCCAGAACTTTGGGAGGCCAAGGTGGGAGGACTGCTTGAGCTCAGTTTAAGACCAGCCTGGGCAACATAGCAAGGCCCTGTGTCTACTAAACATAAAAATAAAAAATAAAAAAAATTGGCTGGGCGCAGTGGCTCATACCTGTAATGCCAGCACTTTGGGAGGCCGAGGCGGGCAGATCACTTGAGGTCAGGAGTTCGAGACCAGCCTGACCAACATGGTGAAACCCACTCTCTACTAAAAATACAAAAAATTAGCCAGGTATGGTGGCATGCACCTGTAATCCCAGTTACTCCAGAGGCTGAGGCAGGAGAATCGCTTGAACCCAAGAGACGAAGGTTGCAGCAGGCTGAGATCATGCCGCTGCACTCCATCCTGGGTGACAGAGTGAGACTGCATCTCAAAAAATAAAATAAAATAAAATAAAATAAAATAAAATAAAATAAAATAAAAAATAATTAGCCAGGTGTAGTGGTGTGCACCTGTAGTCCCAGCTACTTAGGTGGCTGAGATGAGAGGATCACTTCAGCCTGGGACGTCAAGGCTGTGGAGAGCCATGATCATGCCACTGCACTCCAGCCTGAGTAACAAAGCAAGACCTTGTCTTAAGAAAAAAAAAAAAAGTATATGGAAGGGTGACAGATAATAGGTTAACACCCATACTAAAAATGTAAAAGAAATTAGTCCCATGTTTAGGTCTGTATCTCACATCTTAATTCATAATACACTAATTTGCCTCACAACACTGCAAATAGGAACAAAAGAAGTGGCAGAGTTATCCAAAGGCAGTCTGAGTTCAACCAGAGCCCTGCTCACCAGGACATTTTATTACACATTGGAGAAGCATTCTAAGACATGGCTGAGGGTGTCCCAATTGTTTTATCTATGAAAAATGGGCTCCTTGGAGGCCATGTGCAGGCTCACTTAAAACAATAAGCTTTCCTAAGCCCCCAAGCACAACATACTCCGGGAGCATGGTCTGGATGCTTATCAAACAAGTTCCTGGGCTATTCTCTGAAGTTTCTGGGCAAGTACAAACAACAGAGTCAAATAAATGCCTTTAAAAGCAAGGCAGTGGAGCACGTACCCTGTCAGTGAGATCCTCATATTCCCACAGAGTAAACAGTAACATGAGAATATTTATATGAAACAAAACTGTATATCAAGCCTGCTTTGGCTCAGCCAGGGGGGATGATAAATTCCTTGCAGATCTCTCACAGAGTGGTCCTTTGTTGACCACGGACGCCACTTCCAAGACAGTACAAACCAATTACAGAGCAAGGCTTTTCATTATGTCAAGAAATGAAAATATTACCCCCCTTTTGTTTTATTTCAGTTATATTTTACTTACTCCCTTCTCCCAATGTTTAAATAGTTTTAATTTATCATGAGTTAAGTCCCAATTTAGGCTGGAAACCAACGACAACTCCCCCTCTCCCCCGCACCCCACACACAAAACCTTATCACCTCATAGCCTAGCTTGTTGCTTTCCTTATCCCTCTTTTAAGAAACTAAAAGTTAAAGTTTAAAGCTGGGTAGAATAAAAACCAAAGGGGTTGACAGAAAGTAAAGTCTATTTGTTCACATCAATTTTGGCCTCTTCACAGTTGGTAAAAGGAGGGAGGGTAAATATGAGCTATGAAGCACATATTCCATACAATGTCCACCTTGTAGTAAGATTTAAAAAACAAATACTGATGAAACATTGGCACAAACTGTGGGGCTGCTTCTAAGAGGCCAATCCGAGAAAAGCTGCATATGAGTCGAGGTATTTGTTAGTTCATTTTGTCAGGTTTTCTCAAGTCAATGGGATTGTCCTTCCTAGTGATCATAGATGCATCCCAGTGACTTCTGCCAGTTCCTGCACAGGAAGAGCTGGTGATACTCTACCCTTCCACCAGAACACTTTCAGCAATTTACAGCTGGTTCAGATTTTCTAAAAGGCAGAAGGGAAACAGAGAAAGAAAAGACAAATTCAAATATGAATGAGACGTAAGAGGTGTGTCTGTGCTTGTTTTAAAAATTATTGGCCAGGCGTGGTGGCTTACACCGGTAATCCCAGCACTTTGGGAGCCTGAGGTCGGCAGATCACCTGAGCGCAGGGGTTCAAGACCAGCCTGGGCAAGATGGTGAAACCCTGTTTCTACTGAAAAAACAAATAGCTGAGTGTGATGATGCCCACCTGTAATCCCAGCTACTCAGGAGGCTGAGGCAGGAGAATCCCTTGAACCTGGGAGGTGGAGGTTGAAGTGAGCCAAGATTGTGCCACTGCACTCCAACCTGGGTGACAGAATGAGGCTCTATCTCAGAAAAAGAAAATTATTTATTTATAATAAAAATAGTAAATTTTTATTTTTTAATGGATAGCTGGATCAAAGGCCACATTTAATCAACTTTATTTTAAACCATTAACTAAACCTCATCTGGAGCACTATAGTCCATCATAATAGATTTTAAAAGGGAAAAATAGGTCCTGCATAGTTGTATCTATTAATAGATATTAGAAATTTGCCAACATTTTATTTAGAACATATGGATGATCTGGTTTGGATCAGTGTCTCCACCCAAATCTCATGTTTAATCATAATACCCAGTGTTGGAGGTGGACCTGGTGAAAGGTGATTGAATCATTAGGGGTGCATTTCTCATGAATGGTTTAGTACCATCCTCTTGGTACTCTCCTCATGATAGTGAGTGAGTTCTCATGAGATCTGGTCGTTTAAAGTATGTAGCACCTCCCCACCAGCTCTGTTGCTCCTTCTCTGGCCATGTGACATAACTGCTCCCCCTTCCCCTTCCACCATGACTGTAAGCTTCCTGAGGCCTCCCCAGAAGCCAAGCAGATGTCAGCATCATTGTTCCTGTGCAGCCTGCAGAACCATGAGCCAATTACCTCTCTTTTCTTTATAAATTACCCAGTCTCAGGTATTTCTTTATAGCAATACGAGAATGGACTAATACAATAGACTTAGTAAAGTTATCTTATTCAGATATGAGGTGATTTTTTAATTTTTTTCTTAACTTTTGTGGGATAAATACATACTTTTTGTTTTTTAATTATAGAACACAATGTGCAGAACATACAATTTACCACTTTAGTCATGTTTAAGTGTATAATTCAGTGGAATTAAGTACATTCACACTGTTGTGCAACCAAGCACCATCATCCATCTCCAGAACATTTTTCATCTTCCCAAACTGACACACTGTACCCATTAAAAGCATGTTTGCTTTTCAATAGGCCTTGCTCAAAGCCAGCAGCCTTTAATGCTGTGACAGGAACCTGGAGAGGTTAATTCAGGTAACTGGCAAATGAATCAACCCCTCCTACAACCCAATATGAATCAGCAGCACCATGGGCTTTTATCCCCTCTCATCTGTTTAATACTGATGCTCAAAACTAAAGCAAAGCTCTAGAATAGATCTAGAAAAACTGTTAATAATACATTTCATTTTTACATTACAGCTTACAGACATTTATTCCCCTAGTCGGGGTGGGAATTATTTTTCCTATTTCATAGCTAATGAAATTATGGCTACATGAAAAATAACAGCAAGGACTGAACTCAAGCCCTCCAATCCACTGTCTACTGTTCTTTCTATTGGGCCACACAGCCTCTGCCAAAGCAAGGCAAGATCTGGGCACTACTGCTTCTCAGCTCTCAGAGACTGAGAGACAGACCTATCAGGTCTAGCTAGACAGCATTTTGTCTCTTCACCAGAGCAACTAAAATTCCTCACGTCTAAAAACCATACCTAGTCCATCATCTTTTCCATCTTCGTTGTAACCATATTGACAGAGAAAACACACACAGAATTGGAATTCCAGAATGATATAAATGCAATCAGATTCAAGAATCAAATGTAAGTAAAAAAGAAAAAAAAAATTAGATCACTGGATCCTATAAAAAAACTGAGTTCAACCTTTTTTTAAACTTTTTTTTTTCTAATAGAGATAGTCTCACTACATTGACCAAGCTGGTCTCAAACTCCTGGGTTCAAGTGATCCTCCTACCTCGGCCCCCCTAAGTGCTGGGATTATAGGCATAAGCCACCACACCTAGCCAACCTCTTTATTTTTAATTCCTTAAAATAAATTCACACTTTCTGCTTTTATTAAAGAAGATCACAGTCTTTCTTGCTAAACTCAATTTGTGGAAAAATTCATTTCTCTGTGCTTTATGGGAAGCACCTGATACTAGAACAATATAAATACTAAGGATTTACTTAAAATTGCCATCATTGACAAATAGCTTCTTTTAGTTCACAAAAAAGCTACAAATTTTAATTTCTTTCAAAAAAAAAGTCTTCTGCCAATACCCTTCTCTTTGCTCAAAAACAATATGTTCTCTAAACCTTTAGACTTTCCATCTAAATTCCAAAAGAATAAGTACTTCCTTGAAGTCATGCCCAACACCATCATGCCATCTCCCTATATAAACATTTCAAAATTCTATATCTGGTTTATGAACAGCAGAGCATCCTAAAAGTAGTAAGGCAAGAATGAACCATCATGCTTTGAAAGGGAGATTATATTTTGTTACCCTCCCATTTTTTAGTCACTTAGTATTTGATTTTTTTTTTTTTTTTTTTTTTTTTTTTTTTTTTTTTTTTTTGAGACAGGGTCCCATTCTGTTGCCTAGGCTGGAGTGCAGTAGCACAATCATGGCTCACTGCATGATCTTGCCTCGACCTCCTGTGCTCAGGTCATCCTCCCACCTTAGCCTTCCAAGTAGCTACTATAGGTGTGCACTGCCATGCCTGGCTAATTTTTGTAGTTTTTGTAAAGATGTGGTTTTGTCACGTTGCCCAGTTTGAGTTTGGTCTCAAACTGCTAGGCTCAAGTGATTCACCCGCCTTGGCCTCCCAAAGCGTTGGGATTATAGGCATGAACTACTGTACCCAGTCTTGATTTTTTAAAATGTACATATTAAAAGAATAATTAGCCAGGAGTTTGAGATTAGCTTGAGCAACACAATCAGATTCTGTCTCTACAAAAAATACAAAAATGAGCTTGGTGTGGTGGCTGGTACCTGTAGTCCCCTCTACTTGGGAAGCTGAGGTGGGAGGGCTGCCTAAGCCCAGGAGGGAGAGGCTGCAATGATCCATGAGCCTGGGTGACAGAGTGAGACCCTGTCTCAAAAAAATAAATAAATAAAGTAGTAATTACTCAAAACATGAGAGTTGAATATGGAATTTGAGAGTTCATTCAGGAAAATCCAATCAAGTCCATTTATCTTGTTTTCTTATAATAATGAAAGATGGTTCAGAAACCATGGCCATTTTACTCAGTGGATTGAGAAGAGCTTCTAATGCTCACACATTACTAGCACATGACACAAAGTAGATTCTCTCGAAATTGTAACAATGACTAGAAATACAAGGTAATTAAGAATAATCTATGAACACTTGTTGTTGTTGAACAAAGAATGCTTTCAATTTTCCAATACATGGCTGCAACTAAGCTCTTTGTAGTTTCTCCACATCTTCAGTGCCCAAAAGAAAATTTTGTAACGACTAATAATTTTCCTTAAAATTTCAGTGAGGCCTTAGATTGGATCACATGAAAACACCTCCCCGAATCTTCCAGAATTCCCCAATATTTTCCTTTATACCATATTCAGCACAGTTCTTGCACTCTTGGGGTGTAAATCCAACTAATGCTCTCCCTTTAGTACCAATTCCCCAATCACTTGCCAACTTCTTAACTTGAGCTTCTATGTAATGAGGAGACACGTAAGAAAACTGATCACCAAGGACACTGTAAGACACATTTTGGAAGTCTTCTGAGATTTCTGCAGCTTCTTGGTCATCAAAACTCTCCACGTTGCAGGCTATTTCAATTTTTCCCTCGTGGGGAAAAGCCATCGCTTGGACACCCTTCAATCCATTTGCATTTGAGCCCCGAATGGCACTAGCAATCTCTCTTCCTGCAGACATGTCTTGAGAATCTATGGTAATGTTGCAGTTCATCACATACGGGCTGGCACCAACACCTAAATCATTAGAAGAGCATGTTAATCAGGCAGAACAAAAGCCTCCTTTTGAAGATTCTATTCGTCAGCCAGTTTTAATCGGAGGCGTTTCCTTTACTCGGTTTTATTTAAAAACAGTACAAATATTCCTCATTGTCAACTCCAGAATTTTCTGAAGATAATATTTTTTTTCCATAACGAAAGTATTTAGGATATAATCAGGTAACTTTATCTACTATAAAAGTATCTGAAGGATTTTTTTTTTTTCCTAAAAGAGCTCAAACTTTCCAAAATACCAACAGAGAAAGAAAAGCACGGTTAAGAGCTAAGTCCATCAGCAGCAACAGGCCTTGGAACTTCATTCATTTCCAAGGCCATCTCCATGGGGTTTGGAATTCAATGACAGGCCTAAGAGTCTCAGAGACAGGAGTAAATCACACCTCTGTACCCACCACTCCCTCTCCCTGAAACAAACATTTGTCATTATTGAATTAGGTTAATATCAGATTAAAATGAATCTCAAAACCAGTCTTAACTAGGGAAAGAAGTCACTAAAAACTAACAAACAGCCTTGAAACTGGGAAGAGCAAAGGGACTCATGTGTTTTGTGATGATGTGAGTTTGGCAGGGTTTGGAGCCAAACAAAACACAAGAATCCCCTCACACAGACTTATAAACCTCGTGCCTTTCTCCTTGTACAACCTGTTGGAGGCACCTCTTTCTTTTATCCCCAGCTTCACAAGAGACTGAGATGGCCACTGCCACTCTACAGCCCTGTTACGCTAGAGTTCAGGGGCAAATGTCCCGCTTTTCCCTGTCTCAGGGATGGTGCGGCTCACGTTACATAAATAGTGTGGCTCTAATTATAGTTTACACTATAAGATGGACAACTTGGTTAAATTAGCATTGGTATAAAAAGCTTACATTTGCAGTTTCCTCATTTTTGGGGAACCTTACATTTCTAAAAGCAAAGTTAAGCAGGGATTGATGAGGGATAAAGGGCTGACCTCATCTTCAACATGTGATCATTTCTTAGCTACTATTTCAACATTATTTTACTGTCATTCCTTTTTCTTGCTGCTTTCAAACTTATTGCTCCTGATGTCAGTATCCATCAGAGAAGTGCCTTCTCGGTTCACTTTTCCCTAGACTTGATGGTTTGGGGGCTCTGTTGCCTAGCCTGGCTACTCTCATACTAATAGATGTTTTACAGAAAATCAGCACACGGAAACCACATTTCATCTTTTTCCCACACATGTACATAATGAAACATTTCAACTCCCGAGGCTGGGCCTCTTCCTCCTGGGAATTCTGCAGGAATGAATCAGATTACAGTATTTCCCCATAATGCTGATTTCATAAAAATTAAATTTCCTAACAGTCAATACATCTCTCTCATCATCTCATGTCCCAATCACTTACCCTAAATATCTTTAAGAACTATATCAGTTTTAACATTGCACAGAGTATAACTGGAATTTTTGTCAATGTTAATGTTGCCACTATTAACAGAAAACATCCAAACATTTTTCTCTCATCTACCCCCCAACAAGTAATGTTACAAATAGTCTTATGTCCTCAAATCTAGTGTACATATCCTATTTTGACTCAAGGAATGGTAATAACTTTACCATCGTTCCAACAAATAGTTGGATCACACTCAGGTTTTGCTGAAGAGTATATAACACTGAGGGTTACATCAGCACAACTATTCAAAATCCTTACCAGGCATGTAGTGCTTCACCATTATACTTTGCTGTCCCATACCCATACCTTTGAGATGCCCAGTCACATTCAGATATTCACATGCAATTCATCAGCCTTGGGGAGCAAGTCACTTTCAAAGGAAGTTCCTGCTTATGGACCTGGGGCTCTCCCCATGACATGGGTCATTCCATCCCTGTGGCCCTGGGACTTTTCCTGAATCCCTCACCCAGCAAATTCCAAGACATCCTCTACCATCACATGTCTAATAACTTCCCCTTGTTAGTAGAATTTCCAAAGTTGATCATTCTTGCTATAAATGAACTCATTGCCTAAGATAAATTATTAAAGATAAAGTAAGTTTAGATGTAAGCCCTAAGGACAAGAGTTCAATAAAGAAATGTATACTGTTCAGTGTCCCAACACCGACTTACTTGACTAAAATGAAACTCTTATTTTTAAAATTCCTTCAAAAGCATAAAGTTCATTTTTTTCTAGCAAAATAAAACATCAGAAATAACTTTCATATGCTTTTAAATAAAATAAGAGGTAATCACTTAACACAGAATAATCATTTTTCAAACGGGACCTTGTTATATATATTTTAAATTCTTCTAGTAAGCTTTAGTTACACAATATTTTTGTTTTATTACTATTTCTTATTCAAGTAGTGAAAAAACAGAGACAGTTAACGAATCTGAGATGTTTCTGACTTAATCAGGGTAATAGTTTCCTCCCAAGGTGGGGAAACTTCTCTCTCTTAGAGGGTGAAAGAAGAAAGAAAGAAAGAAAGAAGAGAACATTTCTCTTTCTGCCCAAATTCACGCTTTTCCAATTTCCTCCATTTAATCCTTCCAAGTCAAAACCAATACGGTGATCTGATTATACTGAATCAGATTCTGTGTTTAAATCCAGCAGTCCCATTGACCTTATTTAAATGCTGAATTTGATTTTTTATGTTAATTTAAACCTACTAAGAAGGTATTTTAAATGAGAGAGATAATTAATCCCAGCAAATCGTTTTTCCAGTTAAATGTCATATAATTAAAGTAATTCCACTTTTTGCTCTAAAATTAGAAACCTGATGTGAAAGTTTGTTTCTCAGTTTGCGGTTTCGCTCCACTCCCACCTCCCGCAGATTGGCACTCGGCTGCTCTGGTGGCAGCACGAATCCCCTCACTGCAAGGCTGAAATTCCAATTTTCTTCCAACACAACTGTCACAACGCCCTGAAGCAAGCTAAAAACAAGGAAAAAAATCTTTGCTATGATTTCGCTTTCCATGTGTGCTTTAATGAAAAATTTATCATTCTAAATATTGGTGTTTACTCCTAGTTAAATACTTTTTTATCAAAAAGAAAAAGAAACTGAGATTCAGTTGCTATTATTTCACAGAGAAATATAACAGGCCTGATGTTTTCCTGACAATTCCGCTATTTTCTTGTGTAGAAACACTGTATTTATCATATACTGTACGGCTGGTGATTTAGATATTGTTGAGACCTTATGGTGAACTGATATGGATGTAAACTCTTTATGCCAGATTGTTTAAGCAGAAAAAAACCAAATGCACTTAATTAACATCTGATGTGTAGCTTTCGCAAACACAAATGCAATATTTGTGTTTGAGCACTGGCAGTAATGACTGTGAACTATGCTATTAATGTCTGGTTTAAAGATGCTTGTGGTAGGACCATGTCTGGAATAACACAAATAAAAAACTGCATTCAGACAAAACAATAGTGAAGAGCCCATTAGGAAAATGGAAAAGCAGCACTCAGAAGAAACACATGTATTTTTTTCCCTTTAGATCAAAATTATTCTCAAAAATAGTTCCAGGCACCATCATTTTCAATCAATTAAAGGTGAAAGGATTCCACATATTTTAACTCTACAGAAAAGAGTTTCACTTTAGGAGGTCCAAAGTTGTTTAGGGGTGTCTTCAGAAGTTCCATTCATTAAATTATACTCCTCTCTGGTGGCCAGTATTAAAGCATGCATGAAGAGAGAGCTGGGATGGTGTTTTAGGATATTTGGTACTTTTACATCTAAAAAGAAAACTTCAAATTTGTGGACTGCATTACAGTTTGAATAAACAGATTCTTTTCAACCAATTCAACTCCCTCATTAAACACTTTGTTACTGGGCTGGGCGCGGTGGCTCACGCCTATAATCCCAGCACTTTGGGAGGTCGAGGTGGGCGGATCACAAGGTAAGGAGATCGAGACCAGCCTGGCCAATATCGTGAAACCCCGTCTCTACTAAAAATACAAAAATCAGCTGAGCATGGTGGCATGCGCCTGTAGTCCCAGCTACTCAGGAGGCTGAGGCAGGAGAATCACTTGAACCCAGGAGGTGGAGGTTGCAGTGAGCCGAGATCGCACCACTGCACTCCAGCCTGGTGACAGAGCGAGACTCTGTCTCAAAAACAAAAAAAAACTTTGTTACTGAAAACCTGGTGAGTGCCAGGAACCATGCAGGTTCCTGAGTATAAAAACAGGAAGAAGGTTAAAATAAGGTAAAACCCTAGCCTAAATGTGGACTTTGCTTCAGAGTCACAAACAGAGCAAGGTCACCAGACTCAGAACTCCGGTTCAAAAATATAAACAGTTATTATACCAAAAACAATTAGTTATCATTATATATTGGCATTTTAAATTTTTTAGACCATGCACTAAAGAGAAACCACAGCTGAAACAGGACATTTGATGACTAAAGCCATAAAACTCAAACATAATTGCTAAGTCCAATGCTCCCATGGCGGGAAGAATGCGGGACTTATGTGCATGTGGCTGAATTCACAGAAAAGAAAGCTAAGTGAGAACTGTGTGCCACAGGGCTAGGAAGTACTCTCGTGGGTCCAAATTCAAGTTCCACCTCAACGGGACACTGCCTCTGCTCAGCTGTCTTTCTGTAAAATGGCTATGACGTTTCCTTGCTCAGTGAGGCACTGTGAACCTCATTCTATTGCCTTTGAATCTTTCAGAGTAGAAATAATTCAGAAGACATTACAACATAAGTATAAATTAACCTCCCATAACGAAGCCAGTCCAGATAAGAGGGAAACTCAAGTGACTTGCTACTCTCAGGTTTTTCAAAAATAGAATAGTGCCCTCCCTGAGTTCAGGCAAAGTCTAAGTCCTTCATGTTCCAATTGTAGGTTACATGCTTAGTGACACATTGAGACTTCCATTTTTCATCATCCCAACTAGGCTTCCTAGCCAGCATCAGCAAATGATTTTTAAAAATAGGCTCCTTAAAATGAGACTCATTCTAAAACTGGAAATTATTTTTCAAATACCAGATAAAGTTTTGGTGTGGAGTAAATTGGAGTATTCAATGTCAAGAAAAGTGCCTGATGATGCATTTCTTATTTATAGTAGAAAGAAGTAAGCAGGAAAGTGCTCAGTAACCCATTTAAATAACTAAACAGAAGCCCCTGATTCCAAGATGTACCAATTACCTCCATCTCTGACTCCTAGGGCATCATATGAAACTACAGTTCAAAGAATTTTCCCCGCATTTTTAAACAATGATGCATACATGCAGGCCATTCATACAACATATCAGACAGCAGTGTTTAAATTACCCCATAAATGTTTAGGGTTTTAAATATATATGTATGAAGTATTTATTTATAGATCTAAAAGTATCAACTATTACTGCTTTGCCCTTATTTATGTTCCCCACAAGCTGGCCAACTACAAACTTTTAAAAGGAATTTGGCTTAAAAGATTTTGTGTGTTTGGCACTGACTATGGGTGTTAATCATTTCTGAGCTCACTTCTTTTTCTCTTCTGTTTATAATATTCTTTGGGAACTTCAAAACAGAAACCTGTTTCCTTATAGATTCTGCTTCCTCTGCAGTACTGTGTAAATTAATTTGTCCTGGATTGTTGACTATACTGTACAGTTGATAGCGCCAATCATTTCTATTTAATTTTTGTAGGAAACAACATAAACATAGCAACAATGTGTTGAGGTTTTTCTGTTTTGGTGGGAGGGAAAAATATGTTGGGAAACACTGACATAACCAAAAAAAAATGTTAGAAAAATATATAAAGCCAATTAAATTTAAGCAAGTACAAAATCGCTATTGTTGGGAACCAAATTCATTGAAAAATTAGATGAATAACATTTCTACCCTAAAGAAAGAGGTGTTATAAATTATACTTCAGTAGATATTACTTCAAAAAATGAAAGCGATTTACAGCTAGGCACGGTGGCTCATGCCTGTAATCTCAGCACTTTGGGAGGCCGAGGTGGGCGGATCACGAGGTCAGGAGTTCGAGACCCTCCTGGCCAACATGGTGAAACCCCCGTCTCTACTAAAATACAAAAAATTAGCCATGCATGGTGGTGCGCGCCTGTAGCCCCAGCTACTCGGGAGGCTGAGGCAGAGGAATCTCTTGAACCTGGGAGGTAGAACTTGCAGTGAGTTGAGATTGCACCACTGCGCTCTAGCCTGGGTGACAGAGTGAGATTCCATCTCAAAAAAAAAAAAAAGAAAGAAAGCAATTTACTTCTTTCTGGATTATTGTTTAAGGAAGAATATGTGCAATTAAGGTAACCTAATATTTTAGTAGAAAGTCTTAAACTCTACTATCTAGTGTGAGGAATATTAGAAACTAATTGTTTATTCACATCCCTTATTCACTGATCCTCCTTGAAATACTTTACTTTTCTGCTATTAGCATCTGCACTGAGCCTACTAAATGATGCACAAACAGACTGCCCAAACTTGGCAAATCGTAATTTTCTTGTTTCTTTCACAAGCTAAAGTTTCTACCCTTGGTCATGGGTACCAGTGGAAAAAGGCATATACGGGAAGAGCTGTGCTTCTTTTCCCTTCTTATCATGAATATGCCATCAAATATAATCCAAATACAGGAACTGAAATTTAGCTTTTATAAAATTTACCACTAATAAATCTTACTAATTACTCTGCAGGGAAGGTGACGGAAATAATCACAGGATTGATTTAGAGATATTATGAAAATATGTTGGAAGCTTTAAGAATTTAAAAATGTTTTTCTTATATATAATACAAACAAAATATGTACATATATATTTTACAATATTGAGATCACGCTGCCTATACTACCTGGTATCCCTTGCACTGGCTATTCCCTCTGCCTAAAACTCTCCTCCACATCTCCACGTGGCTAGTGGTCTCACTCCTTCAAGTCTTTGCTCTAATATTGCCTTTACAAAGAGGCCTAATTTGGATTATTCCACCTATAATCACAATACAGCCCCATTCTAGAACTCTTAATGCCCTTGTCCTGTTCAATATTTATTTTGGCTGTAGCACCTGTTATTTTCTAATGTACTACATAATTCATTTGTTTATTAAGGTTTTTATTTATGATCTGTCTCTTTGTCCCTCCCCAACTACAATGTAAGTTCTTTGAGGAAACATAAGTTCTATTTTGCCCACTGGTGATACTGCTTAGCACACAGTAGGTACTTAATATCTGTTTTATTAACTAACTTAACTGCAAATTCTCTCTACATTAGACTGCATTTTCTATGTCTCTGAAGGTTCTTCTAAAACATCATGCTTGAGTATGCCACAGTTTATATAAACATTCCCAAATAGCAAACATTTCCATTATTTTCAGTATTTGCTATTATAAATAACGCTTTGATAAACATCCTTGTACATGTCCCTTTTACTATTTCCTTAGGATTTATCTCTAGATCTAGAATTCCTGAAAGGCGGTTATATACATTTTTAGAGCTCTTCATACGTATCACAAGCTCACTTCTAAAAAGTTTATACCAATTTATACTATCATTAACACTGTAAATGTCTCTAACTACATCTTCCCCAGTATTAAATATTACCTTTAAAATATCATCTTTAAACATTCGTTGTGCCAATTTTGGCATCTTAATGTTTTAACTTAGGATTTGCAGATTTTTATGAAAATTTTTATGTAAATTACAGATCTCCATGTGAGTAAAAACAGAATAAAATCATGGCCCAGGCACAGTGGCTCGCGCCTATAATCCCAGGACTTTGGGAGGCCGAGGCAGGTAGATTGCCTGAGTCCAGGAGTTTTGAGACCAGCCTGGGCAATATGGTGAATCCCTGTCTCTACAAAATATACTTGGAAGGATGAGGTGGGGGAATTGCCTGAGCCCAGGAGGTTGTGGCTGTAGTGAGCCGAGATTGCACCACTGCACTCCAGCCTAGGCAAATGCCATGAGACCCTGAAGAGAGAAAAAGAAAGAAAGAAAGACAGAAAGACAGAAAGACAGACAGACAGACAGACAGAAAGAAAGAAAGAAAGAAAGAAAGAAAGAAAGAAAGAAAGAAAGAAAGAAAGAAAGAGAAAAAATAAGAAATCCCAATGTGTTGACCATTTCAAATCAAACAATATAAAATAGATCATGATGAGGCAGAGGCACAGATTATCCAACCATAGGCAGGTGATAGATCAAACTGGGAGGCAATCCTCCCTTTAGTTTAAACAACTACATATCGAGTTTGTTCTTAGGAAACTAAACATAATTAGCAATAATATTGGCATTCGGTCTTATGCCTTTTATATCAGGTTAAAGTTTTTCCCATATATCAACCCATTTATTCTAACAGCATTGCAAAAATGAGAATTAAGTTATTCAAGTGTTTGCTTAACCTAATGCTCTGATAGCAGTATACCTATGTCTAATTCCTGTCCACCTGACTGCAATACCAGTCCACCTGGCACTGAAGCGACTGCATCTGTGGTATAATCTCTTCAGTCTTTAGGGAGGCTCAAATTAGAAACCAGGAAATAGATTTCTGAAAATTTAGTCATAAAACTTTACACTTCTCCATTTGTGAGACAAATCATGGGAAAATATGTGAGGTTCAAATTGGCAGAGAGCAATCAGTCTCTTCCTTTTTTCTATAACAAAATGTTGAATGAAATACATTTATAATATCACTTTTATTAAATCTCCTCTTCATAGGGAAGAAAAAAATGGCCCTTTAGTACTGTGTCAGGCACTTTACAGACATCATTTCGACTTCACAGTAATGAGAGGGAGACATTATTACGTCCATTTTATAGATACGGGAACCAAAGCATAACGAGACCAAGGAACCACGGTCACGCAGCCAGCAAATAGCAAGGCCGGGATTTCAGCATAGCCCCAAAACCTGTGCTTTTTTTTTTTTTAATTGCATTGCTCTACTTGATTATAGATATTATTTGTTTAAGATCAGAATTCTGTGCCAGGGGCTAGTAACCAAAGACCTATGTGTAAATGATTCTGCAGGGCTTTGGCAGAGCTGTGCCATGAGAAATGTGTTTCTTATGCTCACCCACCTCTCACTCCTTGGATATCTAGTATTTTGGTAACTGCTTAAGTTATTGATTGACCATCAAAATGTGACCTTACATGGTTTAATCTGTGGCCCCCAACAGATGTTTGAGAATGAAACAATTGAGACTCAAATAAGTGACACTAGGATGCTGGAAATGCAGGCAACAAGGAGGAGTTCCACCTTTTCCTGATACATCCCTTAGGGGTGGGGCAGGGAGAGAGGGCAGGAGTGGCAGAGAGAGGCAAAAGTTGATGAGAGCCAGGGGAAGGAACAGTTTCTTTTCCCAGTCTTTAGTCTCTGTATTCTAGAAGTCCGTTATTTAGAAAAGATTTTTTCCAGGGTTCCTCTAGAACTGATTTCCAGCTGTAAGCACCAACTTGGCTACACTGATATTTAAGTATTGAAAGACCTTTCTACCAGCTAGAAGTGATCTCTCCCTAAGTCCTCCCTCCCCAGGTGTCTCCATCACACCCCAGGGCACACCCCACACCATTCACAGATAGGGGCCTCCAGGACCCTGCCCCAGTGCCAGGAGCTATGAGCATTCTTCTCATCAGTGATCACATTGCAGGGCTAATGATATATCTTGAATATCACTTCTGGGGGCCCTCATCAAATACCTGACGGGTGCTTCTAGGCCCACAGGTTAGCTTAACAGGGCCCGGGTGAGAGTAACAGCAGAAAGGAGAGCCTCACCCATTTAAGAAGTAGCCACTCCTATAACTCTTCCTGCATTAAGAGGGTGTGACTCAGAAAGGGGACCTCAAGTTTAAAAAAAAAAAAATACAGAGCAAAGCAAAAACCATGCTCAGAACCTGTTAAACCACATCTTCGGGCAGGGGCAGCTCCCAGGTCAGGCTGAAGAGCACTGACATCTCTCCTCGTGAACCAACCCAGCTGCTTCCTTCTCTGGACGAGACTACGCTTCTCAGGCAGGTCAGCTTCGCCAAAGAGAAACACGCTACAGCCAGGAACATGCCGCACCAGATCCTCAGCAAGGCCTGTAGCAGAGGGAATTTTAACCAAAGAAAATCACAATCAAGCCAAATCTTAAAAACCAAAGCATATAGTTTTTTTGCTGTGGTAAAACATATTTAACATAGAACTCATCATTTTAGTCATTTCTAAGTGTCCAGACCAGGCATGAAGTTGCACACTGTTTCACAAGCATCACCACTAAAGCACATGATTTATACAAATTTTAAACATCAAAGCTTAAACATAATGAATGTTCCATTGAAGTTAATCTCACAATAAAAGCTTGCCTTGATACAAGGAGACTTGAATTTCTAACCCATTGCAAAGCTAATTTCACAGTGGAAATGTATATGTAGGATTAATGAAATTAGTGCCTTCAATTTTTGAACAGTTATAATAGTCCCAACTTGTAAATATTGTCAGAAGGTATAAAAAGTTAGGAGGGCAAGGGCCAGTAACCACACTGTCTAATATAGCAGCCCCCAGCTGTATGTGCTATTAAAAATTAATTCTAATCAATTAAAATTTTCGTTAGGATTTATCTCTAGAACTAAAGTTTTAACCGATTAAAATTAAATAAAATGGGCCAGGGAAGTGGCTCATGCCTGTAATTCCAGTACTTTGGGAGGCTGACGCAGGAGGATAGCGTGAAGCCAGGAGTTCGAGAACAGCCTGGGCAACATAGTTAGACCCCTATCTCTACAAAAACTAAAAAAAGAAAAGAAAAAAACGAAAAATGAAGTTTTTTAGTTGCACTTGTCACATTTCAAGTACTTAATAACCACACATGGCTAGTGGTCTCCATATTGGACAGCACAGATAAAGAACATTTCCATCACCACAGAAAGTTCTATTGGACAGCTCTGAGCCAGATGCTCTATAAGGAAGCCTAATATTTAAACAAAATTGGAGATTACTCCAAATGACAGAACATTTTTCATCTTCCTCTGCCATTCTTCATATCTGGATTCTCTGGATATGATTTTATCTTCTCAAGGCAAAATATAGAATTGCTGGGCTTTTCTAGATTACTCCTTCACAGGACCTCTGCTTGTTTTCTAGGAGCTAATTATAGTCCCCTGTAAGCAAGCACAGAGATGGCATACATTTTGTCTGATATACGGAATATAGGTGCTAAGGGAATTCTGGTGCTGGCCTGGGACAGCAGGAGTGCAGGCCTTCTTTATTTGTTACATATCATGGATCATCAAAATAAGGGCTGAGATGAGACTTCTGGCCACAATAAGCATAGGAGACCGTCCCAACTGCAATTTCAGTGTTTATTATTTGTTTAATTCTAATGCAGGCTGCCATGTTAATGGAAGAAGTGAAATGTGGAAGACACTGAAAAAACATTTGGTACCACTGGGGTGTAAAAAGTCTTGGGAAATGTTTTGGTTTTGGTGGTTTTTTTGTTTGTTTGTTTGTTTTTTGAGATGGAGTCTTGCTCTGTTGCCCAGGATGGAGTGTAGTGGCGCAATCTTGGCTCACTGCGAACTCCGCTTCCTGGGTTCAAGCAATTCTCTTGCCTCAGCCCCCGCAAGTAGCTTGGATTACAAGCACGTGCCACCATGCCCAGCTAATTTTTTTTTTTGTATTTTTAGTAGAGACAGGGTTTCACCATGCTGGCCAGGCTAGTCTTGAACTCTTGACCTCGTGATCCACCTGCCTCAGCTTCCCAAAGTGCTGGGATTACAGGCATAAGCCACCATGCCCAGCCTGGTTTTTTGTTTGTTTGTTTTTTTAGATGGAGTTGCATGCTGTCGCCCAGGCTGCAGTGCAGTGGCATGATCTTGGCTCACTGCAACTTCAGCCTCCCGAGTTCAGAGGATTCTCCTGCCTCAGCCTCCAGAGTAGCTGGGATTACAGGAAACTGCTACCACACCTGGTTAATTTTTCTATTTTTAGTAAACAGAGTTTCACCATATTGGCCAGGCTGGTCTCGAACCTCTGACCTCAACTGATCTGCCTGCCTCAGCCTCTCAAAGTGCTGGGATTAGAGGTGTGAGTCACCACGCCCAGCCTGGGAAATGTTCTTTCTCTGAATCAGGTAGCAACTCCAGCATGAGAAGTCCCTGGTATTGTAGATACCATAAAGCCAAGAAAATCTCCTAAGTTTATTTTAGCCCTAAGTGATTTCGGTTTCATTAACACTACTTTAAGGTACAGGCATACCTCAGAGATATTGTGGGTTTGATTCCAGACCACAGCAATAAAGCAAATATCACTGGCAAATATCACAATAAAGCAAGTCACGTAAATTTTTTGGTTTCCCAGTGCATATAAAAGTTATGTTTATATTATACTGTAATCTCTTAAGTGTTTAATAGCATTATGTCTGCAGAAACCAATACATATACCTTAATTTAAAAACACTTTATTGGCCAGGTGCAGTGGCTCATGCCTGTAATCCTAACACTTAGGAAGGCTGAGGAGGGAGGATTGCTTGAGATTAGGAGTTTGAGACCAGCCTGGGCAACAGAGTGAGACACCATCTCTACAAAAAATAAACAAAATTACCTGGATGTGGCAGCATACGCCTGTAGTCCCAGCTGCTTAAGAGGCTGAGGTGGGAGGATCACTTGAGCCTGGAAGGTCAGGGCTGCAGTGAGCTGGGATCATGCCACTGTACTCAAGCTTTGATGACAGAGCTAGACCCTGTCTCAAAAAAAAAAAAACAAAAAACAAAACTTTATTGCTAAAAAATGCTAAGGCTTCAGCAAGTTATCATCTTTTTGCTGGTGGACATTCTTGCCTTGATCTTGATGGTTGCTGACTGATCAGCCCGATGGCTGCTGAAGGCTGGAGTGGCTGTGGTTAACGTGTTAAAATAAGACCACAGTGAAGTTTACTGCATCAATTGGCTTCTCCTTTCACTAAAATTTCTCTGTAGCATGTGATGCTGTTTGATAGTATTTTACCCGCAGTAAAACGTCTTTCAATACTGGAAACAATATTCTGAAACCCTGATGCTGCTTTATCAATTCAGTTTATGTAATATTCTAAATCTCGTATTGTCATTTCAACAACGTCCATGGCATCATCACCAGGAGTAGATTCCATATCAAGAAACTTCTTTCTCTCCTCATCCATTTTAGTTGTTGGGGTTTTTGTTTGTTTGTTTGTTTGTTTTAGAGATAGCGTCTTGCTCTAAGACGCTAGACGTCTTGGAGTGCCCTGGTGTGATGTAGGCTCACTACAACATCTGCCTCCTGGGTTCAAGTGATTCTCATGCCTCAGCCTCCCAAGCAGCTGGAATTACAGGTGTGTGCCACTGCTCCCGGCTAGTTTTTGTATTTTTTTTTTTTTTTTTTTTTTGAGACGGAGTCTCACTCTGTCGCCCAGGCTGGAGTGCAGTGGCCGGATCTCAGCTCACTGCAAGCTCCGCCTCCCGGGTTCACGCCATTCTCCTGCCTCAGCCTCCCGAGTAGCTGGGACTACAGGCGCCCGCCACCTCGCCTGGCTAGTTTTTTGTACTTTTTAGTAGAGACGGGGTTTCACTGTGTTAGCCAGGATGGTCTCGATCTCCCGACCTCGTGATCCGCCCGTCTCGGCCTCCCAAAGTGCTGGGATTACAGGCTTGAGCCACCGCGCCCGGCCTAGTTTTTGTATTTTTATCAGAGATGGGTTTCACTATGTTGGCCAGGTTGGTCTTGAACTCCTGGCCTCAAGTGATCTACCAGCTGCAGCCTCCCAAAGTGTTGGGATTACAGGCGTGAGCCACCATGCTGGGCTCCATTCAAGTTTTATCATGAGATTTCAGCAATTCAGTCACATCTTCAGGTTCCGCTTCTAATTTTAGTTTTCTTGCTATTTCCACCACATCTGCAGTGACTTCCTCCACTAAAGTCTTAACGTCACCCATGAGGGTTGGAATCAACTTCTTCCAAACTCCTGTTAATGTTGATACTTTGACTTCCCCCCAAGAATCATGAATGTTCTCAAAGGCATCTAGAATGGCAAATCCTCTCCACGAGATTTCCAATTTACTTTTTCCAGATCCTTCAAAGGAATCATTATCTATGGCAGCTATAGCCTTACAAAATATATTTTTTAAATAATAAGATGTGAAAGTCAAAATTACTCCTTGATCCATGGACTGCAGAATGGATGTTGTGTTAGCAGGCATGAAAACAACATTAATCTCCTTGTACATCTCCATCAGAGCTCTTGGGTGAGAAGGTGCATTGTCAACGGGTGGGAATATTTTGAAAGGAATATTTTTTTCTGAGCCCAGTAGGTATCAACAGCAGGCTTAAGGTATTCAGTAAACCAGGCTGTAAACAGATGTGCTGTCATCCAGGCTTTGTTGTTGCATTTATAGAGCACAAACAGAGTAAACTGAGTATAATTCCTAACGGCCGTTGGATTTTCTGAATGGTAAATAAGCATTGGCTTCAACTTAAGGTCATCAGTTGCATTCGCCCCTAACAAGAGCATCAGCCTGCTCCTTGAAGCCAGGCGTGGACTTCTCTCTAGCTATGAAAGTCCTAGATGGCCTCTTCTTCCAACAGAATGCTGTTTCATCAATACTGAAAATCTGTTTAGTGTAGCCACTTTCATCCTTTTTCTAAAATTTTGTAGAGACAGAGTCTCACTATATTGCCCAGGCTGGTTTCAAACTCCTGGGTTCCAGCAATCCTCCCACCTCGGTCTCCCAAAGTGCTGGAGTTACAGGCATGAGCCACCGCCGCGGCCAGCCTACCTTCATCCTTCATCTTAGCTAGATACCAGTCTCCTGGATAACTTGCTGCAGCTTCTACATCAGCACTTGCTGCTTTACCTTGAACTTTTATGTTATGGAGGGAGCTTCTTTCCTTCAACCTCATGAACCAACCTCTGCTAGATTCCAACTTTTCTTCTGTAGCTCATCAGCTCTCTCACCCTTCATAGAATAGAGGAAGAGTTACAGCCTTTCTTTGGCTTAGCCTTTGGCTTAAGGAAATGTTGTGGCTGGTTTGATCTTCCATCCAGACCACTAAAACTTTCTTCATATCAGCAATAAAGCTGTGTTGCTTTCATG